AGGCTAGCTTCAATTCACAAAATTCTGGCTGCCTCTGTCTCCCGAGTGCTGATATTAAGGGTATAGCCCATACTCCAGATTTGAGGTTTTAGAAGCCTTGCACCATTCCCAGTGGGCTCTGCCTGCTGCCACACTTCCCTGCTATGGTGGAGATGGACTCATCCCTCTGGAGCCGTAAGCCCAAATAAAGGTTCCTTTTATAAGTTGTCTGCTCATGATGTCTTATCACAGCAATAGGAAGGTTACTAGGAGTCCACACTCTAGTCCAGGCTGTCCTGAAACCCCCTATGCACACCAAACGTATACCACCATTCTCCTCCTCAGGACTCCCGAGGGCTAGGATTGCAGGCATGCACCACCACACCTCAATTCATACCCACTTTTGATTGATTTTGTTGATGAAAATGAGAACCAGCCTGGGGAGCCAACACACCTAAGGGGGAAAGTGCTGGGAAAGCATTAACACCAGGATTTAGGTTATACTGCAGAGCCATAATAACAGAAACAGTATGGCACAGCACAGACATATATGGATCAAAGGAATAGCGTAACCAGTGAACTCACACAGCACAGCCACCTGATTAAAATTCTCAGTTACTTTATTTCCGTTGTGTGTGTGTGTGTGTGTGTGTGTGTGTGTGTGTGTGTGTGTGTGTTTATATTTTGAAGGGAATACTAGCAATGTTTACCTTTGGGCTCACACTGGCTTAGGAGAAATGGTGTCTGTGTGTCTGTGTGTCTGTTATCACCGTGTACACGGAATAATCACAAAGAAATGATAATGAAGTGCAGATCTTGGGTGTGCTGCTCACCCCTGTAATCCCAGCACTTGGGAGACTGAGGTGGGGGGGGGGTGATGAATTGGAGGCCAGCCTGGGCCATATTGTGAGACCCAGTCTCAAAAATAAAATAAAAAGATTTATCAATATCTTTTATTCAGTGACATAAAAGTAAAATTATATCCTTAGACAATTTTTGGTGGCGTAGTAAAATGTGCAGGAAATACAACATGAAACTAATACTTTTTGTATGACCTATTCTGTCAAAAAGTATAATTTAGCCTATAGTACTAATTATAAAACATATATCATGCTTAAAGATAATAAATACAAATATTAATATTAGTTGGCAAGTTAATAATTTTGACAGAAATTTTTTATTTTATTTATGTGTGTGTGTGTGTGTGTGTGTGTGTGTGTGTCTGTCTGTCTGTGAATATGCACATGCATGTTGATGTCCAAGCAAGCCAGAAAAGGGAATCAGAGCCACCGGAGCTGGAATTATGGGTAGCTGAAAGCCACCTAATGTGGGTGCTGGGACCTAACTCTGGTGCTCTTAACCACTGAGCCGTTTCTCTAGCTTCAAGACCTTATCTTCTCTTTATGCTCTCACCTTCTTCTTTATGCTCTTTTATATAAAAAGAGCATCACAAATGTTCAGTCAGTACTTTTATAAACAGAAAACAAACCAGAATTGAGGTCATGGCCGCCCTGAGGATTTGGTTTCTCTCCTGAGGGGAGTGGCACCCACAAGTGAGCCTGCTGTGCTGAGGACAGCTGCTGCTTCCCTCCAGAAGACTTCCATGGGCGGGTCAGAAGTCTTGTTGCTGTGACACAGCACAGGTGTTAGGGGGCAACCTCCACGTGAGTGCCACCCCCAAGTGCTCATCTATTGAGGAGGACCTGGGCTCTGTATTTAAGGTTGTCTCCAAGTTACTCCTCTGCTGTAAAGCACATGGCTGCTCTGACCTGATCACACAGCTTCCTCTGGTTATGGCCCCTCACTGTTTACTAGCTAGCACATCTGAAGTTAAAAAGCTTATCATTTGAAAGGCACAATAATTAAACAAATCAGGTTAGTTTCATCATTTTTATCAGTGTTTTTTAAGTGCCCATGGTGTTACTTGGACTGAATAAACCGAGCTGAGGTAGTCTGTTCTCACATCAGCTTAGAGATGTCTGAGAGGGAGCGCACTAACAATGGCTGCCTTTGAGCCCACTCCATTTCAGGAGAAATTGGTCTTTCTTGGCCATTAGAAGTATATTTTACAAGTAATTATTAAACTGTTGGAGGTGTCGTATATAATTATATAAACCATATGTATTGTAGTAGAGTTATAATCAAAGAGAGAAAACACACACACACAAGCCAAGACTGGGAGAATGACTCAGTGTTAGTGCACCCTCCTTGTAAGTACGTGTGCCTGGGTTTGATGCCCGGTGCCCATTAAAGATACCAGGTAGGGTGGGATACCCTTGTAATCTCAGCACTGGGGGCTCACTGGCCAGCCAGTCTAGACTAATTGTTGACCTCTAGGTCAATGAGAAACACTGTTTCAATAGGAGGTAGACAATATTCCTGAGGATGATATCAGCGGCCACGCTCTGATCTTCACATATGTATACACCCCACCCACACTCACTCCCACCCGCAACACACGCCAAAAGAGAACATAGCCAGGATTAAGGGAGGGAATTCATTGTTATAATAGATTCTTTTTTGTCACTGTTTGTAGTGAGCATGTGTAAGATGATAGGTAAACAGAACACATGGTCTCAAGGGATGCAGATACAGCCAGTTATAATCAAATCAACAAGTGCAACCAAGGTACCAAGTACTGTGACTGCACAGTACAGTCTTACTACACACTAGCACGTTGGAGTCTGTTGTCCTGCAGAGTAGGACAGAGTGGAACAGGAGTCCTTCACAACAGCTGACTGAACAGGTGGAAGACAGGTGTGTGTGTGAGCACCACTCTGATGTGCCCTAGTACATACACAGTGGGTATCAGAGACACAAAGAAGAACTGGACACACAGTTATATTTGAAGCTCTCAGCTTTTCCAAATCCAGAGATGCTGAAGGTCAAGGTTCAGAAATCAGCATCCTTCCAAGTGGCTACACTTACTAACTGTGCCACTAATGAGTTTTCATTTGTTAAAAGCTGACTCGAGGGACAGCCTATGCTTATAAAAGTATAACAGCTGTAAAGAAAATTATTTCCTGTAATCAAAGACTCTGATAGAGTGTGTACGACTTCCCATAATGTATGAGAGACAGGTGTCTCTGGAACCTGCAAGAGACTGACAGAATTTGACAGATGAAATCAGTTACCAAAATCTCAGGGTCAGATTTTTAAAATTGTTTTCTAGATTAGGGAGGGTATGCTGTGGGATGGTCTGTATGTCAAATGTGTTGCTCTGATTGGTCAATAAATAAAACACTGATTGGCCAGTAGCCAGACAGGAAGCATAGGTGGGACTAACAGAGAAGAAAATTGAGAAAACAGGAAGGCAGAGAGAGACACTGCCAGCCGTCACCATGACAAGCAACATGTGAAGATGCCGATAAGCCATGAGCCACGTGGCAAGGTATAGATTTATAGAAATGGGTTAATTTAAGATGTAAGAACTAGATAGTTAGAAGCCTGAGCCATTAGGCCAAACCGTTTAAATAATACAAGCGTATGTGTGTTTATTTTATAAGTGGGCTGTAGGACTGCTGGGGATTGGCAGGATCCGGAGAGAAAACTCTCCAGCTACAAGGGTATAATGAGATGGATGGAAAGGAATGTCAATGACTAAAATAACTACGTCATTATCATCATCATTCATTGTTATTGTGGGTGCATATGGTGTGTGTGTGTGTGTTCGTATATGGGTAGGTGAAGCTTTAAAATTGTTTGTTTATTTGTTTATACAGGGTCTCATATCACAGGCTGGCATTGGTGAGGATGACCATGAAATACTTACCTTCCTGCCATTAGCTCCTGAGTGCTGGGATTAAAGACATGTGCCAGCACACTCCAGCGTGGTGCTGGGATTGAGCCCAGGGCTTTGTGCTTGCAATGCAAGTGTTCCATCAGCCAAGCTTCACCCCACCCCACCCCCTTTACTATACCCCACTGTCACAGGAAGGACAGGTTCCCAAGCTCTCAGTCCACAGCTGGATGTCCAGCGCCTCTCAGGGCATATGGCAAGTACTCACTCATGACTGGATCTGCTCTGTCGCCCACATGCATAGCTGTCTCCATTACATGTCACCTCCAGTCTGCTCACTCTTATCCTCACAGAATGAAGATCAGTTTTGTACATAACCTTTTCTACCTTTCTGATCTTTCCCTTCTCAGATGCTATGATTGAGCAAAGGAAAGGCGGAATATTACAATTCCAGTTTTGTGTTGCTGAACTACTTCCAGTTCATGTTAACATTGGGGCCCAGGAGGGAAGATGGAGCAGCATGCCCAGCTGGGCACACCACAGCAGAGCCTTGCCATCCATCTCTGTTCTCGGTGTCCTCTGCAAGGTCTAGCTAAGTCACTGACTGAACAATGGTAAGATGCAGACCCTGATGACTCAAGTCTCACTTACTGAGACAGTAGGTCAGTTGGTAGAGTGCTTGCCTAGCATCTCAGGCCCTACATTCCCTCTCCAGCACCATAAAAATGGCACCATGTCTTTTTACGGAGCTTTGAAGGTAGAGGGAAGGACCAGAGTTCAAGGTCAGCTTTGTCTACAAAGCAAGTTCAAGGCTACCCTCTGCCATGTAAGTCCCTATCATAAAAAAGAAAAAGAAAGGGTCCTTTAGAAAGATTTTAAGTCAATAAAACAATTCCAGTGATAGACACCTTAGATCCAAATGGTAGCTTTGAGAGACGTGGAGGTAGGCGACATATCTTAAACTCTTCTATGAATGCAGAGGTATGACTTCTTGAGACAGAACTATGACATACTAAGCCCTTGGAGAAACTTGGTGACCCAACTAGATATGTGTGAGGATAAAATGTCCCTTTGGGTAAGTTACGGCCTCTGGAAGTTCGTTTCTGAAAACACCAACAGCTTTCAGCCTTCCTGTGGTGTGCTGGGTTCTTCCCAGCCTCCTGGAGCCTCATTTTCTGTTCATTCATGTGATTACTTGGCTCTTCATAGGAAAGGTTTCCTTTCTTTTTCAAAGTATATTTCACATTGTGTTGCTGTCTAAGCTTCCAGGTGTAAATCTGCAAGAAGAAGAAGCGGATCTCAGAGGTATTCTTGGTATAGTAGAAATTCCATATTAATGTCAATTATTGGTGGCCTGAGAAGCTGAATAATCTTGAAGACATCTGTACACTGATTTTTAACTATTGAAACACCACGGGAGTACCTCGGTGCCTAAAGAAAATAATTTAAAGACATATTGTTTCAAATAACACCCTGAGGTTCTTTTTGTGTAGTAGACGCGGACTGTTTCTATGGAAACAGGTTTTCTCTATTTCGTTCTGCTGCCGCCATCTAGAGGACAAGCGAAGTACAGCAGGGAGTGACACATCATGCCCCCTCATCCTCCGGGGCAGCCAGTCCGGTGAGTTAGAGCCGCCTAGATTCTCTCCCGCTGTCTTTTCCTTATCTCCTAGGTTTCCTTATCTCCTAGGTTTTGTGGCCAGAAGATGATTGATCGAGTCCAACTGAGCACACGTGGGTGCAGAGTGAGCCTGGGGCCTCTCAGTCTCTCTCGCACCTGTGGCTCCCCCTCTCACACGTGTGAAACACTAAAGAAGTAGTTGGTGAACTTGCTGAGGGATTCTGAGCTCCTGCGGAGGCTGGGGGCACTGTCTCCTGTAAGAGGGGTTGATACTTTCTCTTAATGAATTCCCTTGCAGGACTGCATGGGATCCCTCCGGAGCATGGTGACCTTGGTACCTCCCCCAGTCTCTCTGCAATACTTTTTCTTTTTTTTACCCCACTTAGCTGAACCACCAGGGGTTCTCACTAGAAGCTGGGCAGATGGCTGTGACATCCTCTTGACCTTTTTCCTGTCTCCAAATTTGTGAGCTAAAAGACTTCTTTTCTGCATCAAGTGTACCACCTCAGACATTCTGTTGTAGAAACAGTAAGTCTTTCCATCTCATCTGTTTTTAGGTCTAGATTGGAATACGAGAAGACCAAGTAGCAATAAAATTATGCATATTTGAACTTACATCTCAGTGGCTCCATATTTTGTGTTGCTCGACCTCAACTCCACCAGTGATGGTACTAAGGGTCCTTAGAGTCAGTACACAAGAGACCCCTCCTCAGGGCATCCACTGCTTCCAGAACTTGTGCTAACAGAACATCTGCCTCATGTTGCAGAAGTGATTTAATTTTCTGCCTGCCTCTCTAAGCCATTGGCCTTCATAAGGCAAAGTGCTATTTCTTGTAGCCCTTACACTGGATAGACATCCCATGAGTGTTGTTAAAGAATAAAATAACAAGTATTATAGTTAAAAAAACGTGTGTGTTTTTCCTGTTCTCAGAGTAGTTTAATGTGGCATGTTACCTGTAATAGCATAATTCCAGGTCAGTAGGCTTCCGACAGGTTGTGTAGTTTCAACGCTGGAGCCTCTGATGGGTCATTAGCTTCTTTACACCATTCCTAACATTAATTAGATGGTGTGTTTGGACAAATTACAACAAGATTCTTTTTTTTTTTTAAAGATTTATTTATTTATTATGTATACAGTGTTCTGCCTGCATGTGTCCCTGCAGGCCGGAAGAGGGCACCAGATCTCGTTACAGATGGTTGTGTGCCACCATGTGGTTGTTGGGAATTGAACTCAGGACCTCTGGAAGAGCAGTCGGTGCTCTTAACCACTGAGCCATCTCTCCAGCCCCAACAAGTTTCTTAAGTGCAGACAGGCCACCAGCACTCACAGTAATCCCGCTTTCCCCAGCATGGGGTGGGTAAGCATACCGCTAGCTGTAGCCTAGCCACACCCATTGTGAGCCCAGCAAATGGTACAATGAGGAGAGTTAAGTCCAACAAGGCAGGTGTGGAGGTGATCCCCAGCCATAGGACTTGGGCAGCTGAGACTGGAGGACTTTGAATTTCAAGCCAGTGTGAGACCTTCTCTCAAATAACTAAAGCCAAACAAAAAAATAAAAAATAAAAACAAAACAGGAGGGAGGCTTTGGGTTATAGCTCAGGGCCAGGGCAGTGCTTTATTATGTGTGAGGTCCAAGTTTGATCCCCAGCACTGCCCCATCCCTACTCAAAATAAAAGGCATCCTGGATACTTATTACTGATAAATTACAATGTCAGATGTGGTGTTAGTGAATGGCCTGTGAATCAAACAGAACGTTCACGTAGCCAAAATTTCTTGTATTTCCCCCCACTTTGAAGACAGGTGAACTTGGGACTCACTGTGCTGCCCAGGCTGGCTCTGAATTCTTGATTCTCTTGTGCTGGGTGTGTACCACCACACACCTGACAAGCACACACCTTTAATCCCAGCACTTGGGAGGCAGAGCCAGGTGGATTTCTGTGAGTTCGAGGCCAGCCTGGTCTACAGAGAGAGATCCAGGACAGGCACCAAAACTACACAGAGAAACCCTGTCTCAAAAAACAAACAAACAAACAAACAAACAAACAAACAAACGAACTTAGTACTAATAACAAATCCCCACTGTAGTGGCATTGCATCCAAATGATGTAATTGGGCTACATCATGACGTTAGAAAAAACGTCCACTTGTTATAAATTCAATTATAGCTAAATCAAACGTTAAACAGTCTCCCCTGAGGGATTGCTAACAGTGCCAGTCTAAGTGGATAACCATCGCAGGCCTTCTTTCCTTCCTTCCTTCCTTCCTTCCTTCCTTCCTTCC